TCGAGAAATGGTACCTCAACATTTGCTTATAGTTTGACCCTCCTATAAACTGATGGGGGGAAAAACGTGAGTATTTTTCAATGAAAAATCCTCCAGGTTCTGAGAATAAACTTTTNTACCTCAACATTTGCTTATAGTTTGACCCTCCCATAAACTGATGGGGGGAAAAACGTGAGTATTTTTTAATGAAAAACCCTCCAGGTTCTGAGAATAAACTTTCAGTAATTTCTTTCAATGCAGCATCTTACTGAGTATGCGGATGAGCAATGATTCTACTGATTCGATAGCTAATTTACCGGTTAAATCCATTTGGAATATATTCTTAGATTTATTTTTATTCTAGTGGTATCAACTGTATGCAGCGTGTGATTTCAAAAAATTAAATTGCCGCAAAAGAAGATGGTGCTGTGAAATATTCTTTAAAAATTCGTAAAATTTGGTTATTTATATTCCTGAAATATTCATATTTTATTGGGGCAGAAAGAAAGGAAGGATTCCAAGAAAAGTAATAAAAGTTTTCTACTCGGAACGGACCGGGCCCGTCCACCAGGGTTGTAAACCATCGGTACTCTCTCTCTCTTCTCTCGATTTTTTCTACATAGAATTTTTCCGTAGTCAAAACATGTGTTTTTAAAGGGGTGGTAAGACGACGTTGCCATTTAATTGTTTGTAGCAGAAACTCCTCTGTAGATACTCTTTGGAGACAATATTTTCCGGTTCATTCATGGGATGACCGTGGGGTAGAGCGGTTCACAGTGTTGTCTCAAGTGTTGCAGCTTTCAAAGTGTAAAGTTACTTATTTCTCTTTTTTTTTTTGTTAATACGAATCGTGAATGGAAAGGAAGCTTCCACGAAATTGACTTCAAGTGTAAATTTATTCTATTCGTGAGGGTTAGGAGAGTGATTGAGGAAGAACGTATGAACCCAGGTAAGAGAACCACCCTGTTATTTATTTTTTATATTGAGAGGATAACGCCAAAAAATCATTCATCGGTACCATTCACTCGTTTATCCACTTAATTGTAAATTGAAGAATACATTCATTCAAAATTTTCATGCTCTCTAGGCTTGACAGTGGCCAACAGAATCATTGCTGTTTAATTCACTTATGATGCATCTGTTTACCACATCGTGAAAGGAAATGAAGCCTTTTCTTGTTGATCCAGTCACATAATTTCATATTCTACATCATAAGACCAGGGAAAACATCTCACAAAAATCATTGCCGGAAGAATTCGGCGGGAAGAAAGGGCCGGAGGGGGGGGTGCTCTCTGACAACAGTTCTGCGGGAAACACACATATACATAGGAGTGCGCTCGTTCGAACAAAGGACATTGCCAATATCGTCACAATTTCTTTCCGAAGATTGTAATATGAAATTTGTTTTCAAAAAAATTCATCCCAATATGGACATTTCTACACAATTCCGACGTGAGTGTGAATGAGACTATTTAGTGTTAATAATTTAAAAAATTATGTAAAAATAGTCAATAACCCCGGCGAATTTGCGCATTAAATAATAAAGGATAGATTAAAACCAAGAAAAAGAACCGAGAATTATTTTGAGGAAAAATCATATTTTTATATGCGATAAAAAATTGTTAGAAAGGTATCAAATTTTTTTTTACGAATATAATAATCTCTATTCGGAAATATTTAGTTGAAGATATGAAAAAATATAAAAGATTGACAATACGAAGAAATTCAAGAGAAAAATGAAAATGATAAAAATGGGAAAAAATGTTCTTGAAAATTATAAAATGTTTTCTTTAAAAAAGAAGAAAGAAACTGAATTGGGTAATATCTCGTTAGGGATGATCGGGTGCAATCGGCATGTAGGCGGTAAGATTCAGGGGACTCTATTGTTTTTTCTAAAAAATCCAATCCCAGACCAAAAAAATCTACTTTTCAATTGAATAATTCAGCCATTGTTTCAGTCTTTTATGGTCAAATGATTTTTTTTTTAACTTGATAACATCTTTTCAGAAAAAGATGAAGAACGAAAATCGCGACAAGTGTTAATCGATTATTTTTCACGAGTGAATGGTCCGATTTGACTTTTTTTCAACTTCCCGGGATAGGGAAGTTATTGCATTCACCTCGAAAATCAAAATGGCGCATCTGAGTTCTTCACATCCCTTTTCTCATTGGATAGGTGTGAATTGACCGCGCTGACCCCAATCAGTTCTTGTGACGTTATCGCGATTCCAAGCTGCACGCGTTGATATTCCGTTCTCGCGAGTTTTTTTATTAATTTTGCCTGAACAATGCTCGAAATGAAGATGAAAATTTTGGCAATACGCCTATTTATCGAAATTACACAAGTGTGCAAAGTTTCATCACATTGGCTGCATTTTTAATTAATTTTTTCTAAAATCCCATAACACTCTGCGTTAAATAGCATTTTTTTGGAAAATTCTCGCATTTTATCTAGGCTTGCTAAAAATATGAAAATTTGCACATAGTTTCTCAAAGAATCAAAGAATATATCCATAGAAAATTCCAACGAATATCTAAACTCGAAATTTGAAACTCGAAAAAAGACGGTCAATTGAACTTGTTACTCTTTTCACCGTCATCTGCAATCTGTATATTTTCCTACATTGTTACAGATACCATGTATATTTGCCAATTTTGTCCAAAGCAAGTGGAGACAATGAAATCTCATTTGCTGCATCATCGACGCCGTCATCTAAATAAAAGTCAACAATTCCATTGCGGATACAATGGATGCAAAGTAGTGTATTGCGTGAAAAATTATTTATACAAACACTTGAGAAAATTTCACAAAGTATTCGTGAAACAAGAAGGGCGCGTTTTAGCTATAGCTTCGAAGAAAGATAGTTATTATGTTTGTACAGCCATTTCATGTACCCAAAAATTCCATGACCATGATGCGTTCATGAAACACCTGAAATGGCATATCAAAGGTGGATCGAGCATCCGGTGTCCAATAATGAATTGTTCCAAAACATACACAGTAGTTGGTTCATTCACTAGTCACATATCCAGATGCCACCGGGCGGTAGATTTCCAAGCAATTTCACAGGAGTATGAATCAGGCTCAATCGGTGAGCAACAATTGAACGAGCCGAATGAGGTTGACGATAACGGTTGCTCTGATCATGATGATCATATTAAAGACAATGATGTTGAAATGCGAAGTACTGGTAATAATGAAATCGATGATGATTTAGATGATGATTTTTTAAATAACTTAGTGGATTTCTATTTAAAATTGGAAAGCCAATTCATAGTTCCAGTGAGCACCATCCAAAAAATTATGGAGAATGTACAAATGTTGAATGATGGGAGTCAGAAACCTACGAGTAATCAATTGGAAAGAATTTTACGAGATGAGAATTTGTCGTCAGAAAAAATTCAGGAAATTATAAAAAAAAGTCTCTTTATCCAATCCCTTTTCAACTCAAAATGAAGTATTAGATAGTGATTATAAGCGAAAAAAATTCTATAGAGAGCATCGGCAATACATTGATCCATGTGAAGAGTTCATTCGCCAAAATAAGAAGGGGAAAGCTCTTTTTCAATATGTACCGATCGGAGAGACCTTGAAGCGTCTCCTGAATAGTAAATCACTTGTTGATTGTTTGAATTATAACAGGACTGAATCGAACGATGGAGTTTTGCGAGATTTTACAGACGGGAAAACATTGAAAGAGAATCAATTTTTCAAAAATAATCCAACTGCGATAAAACTTTTCTTATTTCAAGATGAATTCACAGTTTCTAATCCTCTTGGAGCAGCAAAAAAAAATACAAAATCCTTGGAATTTACTTCAGCATAGGCGAATTACCACCACATGTTCGTACTCATGTAAACACGATTCAACTAGTTGAACTTTGTAAATCTGATGATTTTGATCATTATAAGGTGTACGGTAGGATTGTTAAAGATTTACGTATACTTGAGGTTGAAGGACTCGAAATAGCGCCGGGAGATGTTCGTAAAGTTGGTTTAGCCTTCATCGCAGGTGACAATTTGGGAAGTCAAGCTTTAGGTGGTTTTCTGTGCAATTTCAATAAAGCGATTTACTTTTGCCGTTATTGTCATGCAAAACAAAGTTCACTAACAGATTCTGTTGCCGTCGGTACTGCCTGCAATAAAAGCCATTATCATCATGATTACAACCAGCAAATGAGAACTGTAGATTCATATAAGGAAAATGTGCGTGAAGCCCAGGAAAATTGTAAACCACACCGTGGTGTCAAATTTAATTCAGCTTTCAATGAGCTTAACAGTTTCCATGTTTGTCTCCCAGGACTACCCCCGTGTCTGGGTCACGATGTCATTGAGGGGTTTGCGGCATATGAAATAATGCTGTTTCTTCATTACTTTGTTGACAGTGATTGGTTCACGTTTGATGACCTCAATTTCAAAATCGAGAATTTTAATTACTCTATTGGGGCTCGCAGAGATAAGCCTTGTATAATAATACAAAAAAAGACAGACTAGTTGGAGGCTGTTGACAGATTTTCACGTTCATTCATTTATTTCCCCTGATGATTGCGGGTAACATAAAAATTTTTGATGATCCTGTTTGGAAAACCTTCTTGATATTATCAGAAATAATCGAGATAATTTGCTCATATGAAATGAACAAGTCATACCTGCCATATTTGGAAGATCTCATCCACGAATATTTGATAATGAGGACATCATTATTCCCGGATACTAAATTAAGACCTAAACACCATTATTTAACTCACTATCCAGAGCTGATTCTCTGCTTCGGTCCTTTGATGCGTGTAAGGACTCTACGATTTGAGAGCAAACACAAATATTTCAAACGGGCGTTTCGTACACTTGGAAATTATACGAATGTAACGAAAAGTTTAACTGTCAAACACGAATTATTTCAATGTTTCCTGCGAGATGGTTCTGACTTCAGAAATGAAGTGGAATTAAAAAAAATGAGGAAATTCCGGCTGGAGGAATTTAGCGTTGATATACACAATGCCATAAATTCAGTGTGCTCAGATGTTTCCGAACTCGAAGAATGTTCCACAGTCGTTGTTAAAGGTACCACTTATAAACCTGATCAAGCAGTTATTCTGAGGCAAGATGATTACGAGTATAATGTCCAAATTGGCGTGATTGGTCGGATACTAATTGATACTTCGTCGAATGTTTACTTACTAGTAGAAAATACCGAAAATGAATTCAATCCGTTTTTGCGAACTTATGAATTAAGAAATAAATTCATTTATGAATGTTTACCTATTCAGAATATCTGTACCTATGAACCCCTTCATATATATACGTTAGAAACGGTACGATGCATTCGTTTGAGGCGTGGAATTGTCGGCTTAAATAGTTGAGGAGACCGACTGCTGGTATCACTTGTTGGTTCATTTTTATAGACGAGGATAATCATTAACTTTATAATCATTTTGATCGTTTTTTTCAGCATAATGTCTATCTACCAAGTAACATCGAAATCTAAATCGAATCGAGTTGTGGTTTTCGGAGAAACATTAGCAGAGATAATTACACAATCAATTCAGGAATTATCATTGCCACCGGATGAGGAGTATAAGGTATGAATCCCCATATCCTCCTTATATTATTCAATGAATATGCAAAGACGATATTTCTAGTATCAGTATTAATTCATTTCCACCTTTTTTAGATCGTATTGGAAGATACTAGGGCCTCAATTTCAAATATTATAATATTGGAGAAATGGGCTGAGAAGTACAAGTTTCCACCAGGACTCATTTCACCAGGATGATTTTACCAAAAAATGAGAGTGCAACACCGCAAGAAAATCAATTGAATCATCCAAGAGACCCCACTCCAGTGCAACCTCTCAATCCCCTACCGATAATAACCGATGGTATGGAACACATCAATTCAAGCCCTACCAATACTCCGGTAACTAATGGGACCAATGGGTCCACTAGAAATGAAGAGCCTCAAACATCTACTAGAAACATTTTGGAGGTGGAGAGGAGACACCAACACAGGAAGTCGGCTGATCTCCCTTCATGGTCATGGTCAGAGTTGCCAAACACAATTTTGAATAAATGTACGGCAGGAATACGAGCATCGAAATGCGAAAGAGATATGCTGGTAAATCTCATAACCATGTACTTGATCAACGATTTACAAGATACAAGTCAAGCCAAAATCAGGACAATGGCACATGATATTTGTCAACTTTATCCTAAAACATTCGCTGATAAACTTGGTAATAAAGAAGTGGAGGAGGACAATATCAAGAGCGAATTACTAGCAAGGAAAATATCTAGATACGTGGGGTACAGACTGGGTTTGAAGAAACCACTAGTCGTTGGAGATGAACCTATACAGACGAATAGGGGACAGAAGAGAAAACGTAATGATTCAATCACTCTGGACTCCCATGGTTGTGCACTTTGGGAGCCTCCTATGCCACCCGGAGAAACTACTGAAACTCAACGTGCAGCGAAGGAATTTCTTCGAGAAAAAGCCACGACCACTAATCCAGAAGAAGCAGGAATTTTGAATGCCCTTAATCGATCTTACGCCTCCCAGAGAATTCCGATGAATCGTCGAAATGAGCTCATTTTGACGGAATCCAAGTATTTCTTATGGCACGCCACAAAATTGCTCGGCAAAAATGTCGACGATGTGTTTAGGAGGGAATTGAGTGCAAATGAAGTAATATATTGCTACATGAATTATTATCAGATTGAAAAAAGCAACAGCGAAACTCAACAATTGGTAAACATGAGGGGAATTCTGAAAGCTTCAGCAAGAGCTGCAGACCATATGGGAACCAATGATTGTCGTCGATAGGCCATAATGCCCTTGCTCCTAGAGTATTTTAAAGAAGATGCTAATCAATTATACTTGGTTATGGATGTGAGTAGTCTCTCGAAAGTAAAGTGTTCTTTTTACAAGTTAATGCATAAATACGGTCATTATATGAGAATCAATTTTGAATTTACAGAGTGCCAGTTCATTGGAAGAGATGGAAGCAGCAATAACCGACGTGACGCCAAAATTGATTGTCTTGGGCAGATCGCTATACGATCGTGAAGCAGTGTGCAGAATATTCATCGAGAAAAAGGAATGTGTGTATGTTGATAACGTTTTGCAAGGCTTCCTCGTCGTTTTCCTGGCATATTTCGTTTTTGGATTGAAATATCCTCAGAAACTGAAGAGTACACTAGAATTCATTCAACGGTGAGTGATGTCACATGATCTTTATGATTAAAGAAAACTTCACTTTTTTATCAATTCTTGATAGAATGGGTGCAATTTTTTTTTTCACATTTTTGACATGTTTTGACTAAGTTGATTCGAACTTGAAGAGCTCAAATGCCCATTCCCATTATCTGCTATCACAGTGCATTTTTTCATGATTCCTTTGTTCATTTTTCAGAATTTTTCTGGACATCAATCCTGAGCAAGAAAGGAAACAAGTAGAGGGGCCAGGACGTCAAAGGACAGTGATAGACAGCAAGTGTTACACTCTTTGTGAGAACATTGCCACTTTCCGCGCAAGAGATGTTGGTATTTGAATTGAACTTAGTGCAAGCATCAAGACTTTCAAGAAATTCACTCTTTTTCCAACACAATGAATAAATATGGAGTACAACGGCAAGCTCGCATTTCTCATGAATTATTTCAGATAATATGATCTTAGTTTCAATATACAGAGAGCCCTCCAATGTACCTCTATTTCTCATTTTTTCATCTATTCAATATATCTTATAGATAAGACTTATGTCGAATATCTAATCTGCATTATCATGTAATCAAAATTTCTATTGTCATTTTTCTATTGAAAGGGATAGTGTCAAATGACGAATGGACTTGTAAAAAATAACAGTAACTAATAGCTGATAAGGAGAAATTATACTATTGTTTGGATAAGCGAATAAGAATGAAAGAAATTGTACTTTTCTCTTGATTTTTAAGGTGAAGCTAACCAAATGTTAAAATGGCTAGATGTTTGATATTGTCTTAATATGTTCACCTAGGTTAGCTTTGTTAACTCAACACATATTACTCTGTACCCCCTGTATGGGATCTTTGATCTCGTGAAATAAATATATATATATATATCGAAAGGGATAGTAAAATATAAATAAAAAACATGAATAAAAATTTTGAATGCTTTTTTTTGCTCCATTTAATTTGAAAACCACATTAACCTAAAATATAGAATCCATAGACAATTAATGTAGCATAAAATGAATCTAAATTTGATAATTCATATCAATTTTATGAGTCTCCATTCTACAAATTCTCAAAAAACGCCTCAAAAATTGGTGGTTGGATCGGAAATGTGTGAGCTTGATCATCCGTAATTTTGAAATAATTTACCCATTTTCGTAGCCGGTCCGTGGAGAAAATTGTACAACGTAGACCAAAGTTCGTATTTTCAAACAATTTCCTAGCTTACTCGCCGATGAATATGAGTAGTGTACTGCTATTTTCGTAGTAGAAGACACACTAATGTTGGGAAACCTACTACAGGATTGTCTTTGCGTACCAAATTTTGAGTGCATTTCGAGTGGCAATGTAGAAATTTACTACAATGTTGAAGGTCAAGCGCGCGCGAACTCTGTCGGCTGTTCGGTAAATCTCTATGCCATCGGAAATAGCAGCGTGCCTATTTGGGTACTAATTTTGAAGAATATTTTTAACAGTGTGGGATTGCGGACTCAATATGTTGTGACCCTTAATGCTTCTGACTCTAAGATTTTGGATTTTGACCCTAAAAATTTCTGACCCTTAAAAAAGTCTGACTGTCAAATATTTGAATCATATTATTTTTGACCTTTAAAATGAACTCTAAAAAATCAACTCTCTACTATCTACTTTTTCTAGAGAGTAGAGAGTTGGGATGGGATGCTTGGTGGGGGCTACTCTCCACTCTCTACAATTTGTGGAGACTGGATAGTTGGGACTGCGGACTCAATATGTTGTGACCCTTAATG